ACAAACGAGACAAACGCGGCGAAGGCTTTGCGAGCGAAAAATGAACCATGTCGGGAGAATATGGCTAGTGTAGACAGTCTGTGCAACCGATATTGAGGTATTTTTCGAATATTTTTTATTATACCGAAAAAACAACCGGGGCAAGGCCCTATTGACGCGCCGCCACTGCCGGGTTGTGACGGCTATTCAAACACAGCCTAGCGATATTTTGGTGAGGAATTCTGCAACCCCGAACCTGATAGACGATAGAGGGGTATGGTCGGACATTGCCTAAAGAGTAATTATAAGTAACAAGATACGATCTCGTGGCGTGTATTCTTCGCTCTGACTCAATAGCGTGAAAAATTTCTCGAAGGAAACTTGCGCATCGCGACGACGTCAGAGTTACAAGAGGGATATGGACAATGCTTAAAGATTAATTACGAGACACGATCTAGCGGTGTGTATCCTTCCCTCTGACTCACTAGCGTGAAAACTTGCGCATCGTACACACACACACACACATTCATCGCGTCTCAAGAATCTCTTGCTTTGTAAAAATCGTTTTCTCGGTTTGCAAAAATCCAGATCTCTTCATCGAGCCGAGGCCATTTATCTTTCAGTTTCGTAGCGCACATAAGGTAACTACCTGAAAATGATTTTAAAATGTTCCTTAGAAATTTAGTAACAAATATTGCCTTGTTCCCACTTCCAAAAGTTGCACGTTTCACAGAAAAGACGCTTTTACTACAATAAATATGTGTTACCATCTGTCCTATTTCTCTGCTTTTCCGGTATCATGGGCCAATGAACGTAGACTTCTGCATGACGTAACAGTCAAATTAGTCAGCTGTAGGTGAATCCCCAGTGGTCGGATGAATATCAGATGTACTACTACTGCTCGCTTTTGCGTTGAGTAGCCTTTCCATATTTTTTTTTCAGTTATTATTAGTTATGCTAAGGAGGTGTTGAAAAGTATACCGGTAAGTAAGATATTAAACACTTGTATATCCTTACCATAAATAGCAATTTTAGTTGAGCACTAGCTCATAAGACATTGTTAAATAGGTACGGTGCGGTATCTCCAAGGAAGGCTAGACCTAGAATAATATGTCACAAACAACGATATTTTCTGGCTTGCATGAAATGTTTATGATTAATTTAATGACTCTTCTTGACTATTCAGCAGACTTATACTACTATATAGGCCACAGCATATTTGGAAGTAGAAATTAATGGCTGTTTCTGTAATGCACGGTTGTGTGAAAGAGAAGAAAATAATCAATTTTACTAATGTCAGAATGTCGGTTGGTCAAAATCTAAACTCATAGAGTCGACAAGACTCGGGAAGCAATGATAAGTTATGTCGGAGTGGAAAGATAGAAGCATTGGAAACGATTGAGAGGCGAGAAATCAAGTTGTAGACAGACAGTTGATGTTTTAAAATATAGTCTATTCTATAGTCCATACTCATACTGTCATAGGGCATTTCAGACTGTGATATATCAAAATTTAGTGTAGATATAGTCTAGTAATGGTATGCAAACACTGCTGGACTGTAGTACATCAGATAAAATGCCTTATGTATTCAAGGTATTAGTTAGTATTTAGTGGTATTTTTACACTCATGCTGTTCCAAATATGATTTTCTTCCTCATTTTAGATACTGTACTACAAACGAAAACGGCAATGTTCCACCAATCCGACCTAACGCTGGCTCTAATCCCTGCTGCTATCAGTGCTATAAAATGGATTAAACAAGAAGTCTTGAAGCGTAAAGGTATATGAGAATCACAATAGTTGCAAACAGCTTAGATGGGCTATTCATTTTGAAATACTTTAGCACTTTTCTGCAATTAGAACTGCCCATCGAACTCATGTTGGAGACTTCATTGAGGTTTATGACGACTATGAAGATCTTTTGAGGTTAACGAGGCATTAATAAATAAAGCTGAGGAATTTGTTTGTTCACTGTATGAAGAGGATATGAAGAATGTAAATGATACCAGGGCACGTCTATTTAACACTGGCAAACATAAGGATTATACTCTTTCACCCAACAATGATTCACTGAAGAAACATGTGGCCCTCAATTTGTTAGTGTCGTAGTCCTGTTTCTAGAAATAATATTGCCTTTGTTCAAATACGTAACCACATAAACTAAAAAAAGACTAATTGTAATATTTCTGTTCACTATGTCATGTACATATTGTACATTCATTTAATTTTCTTGACTTTTCCGGTAAATTTCTAAGTGAAAAATAACTGATTTATTCGTGTTTTCGTGCTCACGATGTTAATTTGTGACTTCATTGCTTAAAAATAAATACGTTTGATAGCTTCTATAAAATGGATGTAGCTTTTTATGCTGTTCTTGTTGTAAACTGCTTGTGGTTATTACATAAAATTTATTCGCTAATGTGAATCAGCGTTGTTGGTGTCGCTGCTTTCGAGGTCACTCGCGACTCCTGTCACACAATTAAAGTATTTTTTGTTGCTGGTTACATGTATGCCATATATTTCGTAATCTACCTAATAAATTATGATCGACTGAGGATGTCCGATTTTGGTCAGGCAAAACAATACAGGAATACATTTGTGTTAGTGTGCTGTAGGGCTCTCGAATTGCATAGTTCTTATGTATGTGTTGTAAACTTATGATTATTGAATTTCCGGGAACCTCTTATATTCAGTTTCGCATCAGGATTGTGGAACAAGCTGTAATGCATTCAGTATGTTCATTTTTACACAAAACTGAAGAATTTATTTAGTTACCAAATGTGCGCTACGAAACTCATTTTCTGGGCGTTTTCAAGGCTTCGTCTCACGGCCCATATCCGTGGTAAAGATCTACAAGTGTTTAATAACTTACTTATACATTTTTCAACAACGTCTTAGCATAACTTAACTAATAATAACTAAACAATGCTATGGAAAGGCTGCCCAACTCAACGCAAGGTCGAGCAGTAATAACTAATATTCATCCGCTCGCTAACAGCTGATTCGATTCAATTGTTACGTCATGCAGAAGTCATTGTTCATTGCCTTAAGATCGATAAGTAATAATAAAAACTCGGACCGCCACTCTCTCACTCTCTACGGTCTACCGTTCGTAGTTTTTATTCGGTATTCTCTATTCTTTCTGTGGCACATTTTCTATTTATTATGTGGTAATTTAATTCTAACATGTAATTGTTACGAGTTTACCCAGTATTATAATGGATACAAATGTTACGTCCGAGTTTTGTGTAGGCTTAGAACAAATTATGGCATTTATATGTAAACTGCGTCCTTACTTACAGAATATTTTACTTGCGAAGGGGCTTCCAAAACGAATTAATTTCGTAGGCCGAGTTTCTACTGTATTAACAGCCAGTTGTGATTATATTTATAGGATATCGCTGTTAAAAAAATCCAAAGATCCACGATAAAATCCCAAAGTCTACCCAAATTTATATTGGTACAATTAATAAATTGTCTCAACGTGCTTTATCTTAATCAGGCCATAGCCAGGATTTTCAAAAGAGGTTCAAAATAAATATTAATCGCCTTGAAATCCTCGCGATACATATGTTCTCACAACACTGACTCCGCTCTGCCACTCCTATTATTTTTTATTTTTCAAGAAAAATCCCTAGGTCTCGGATAAAATATAAAAAACCACGATATATTTTAGTACATTAAAAATTGACTGAATATGCAATACATTAATTATCTTTTATTTTATAATAACCAGAGTAAAAGTTCCATATGTCCCCGACGATAGTTTCGCCTCAACTTAAAACAGGGATGTGCAAACAGCGGCTTGATTAGAAAATTTGTAGGGCTCGCGAAGAAGCGCCAATTTTGAATAGTGTTCCCATTTAATCTTGAATGGTGTTTTTAGATCATTTAATTTGGTGCGTGCGAGCAATTTTAATCTTTCTCTCTTTCACAAAGCCTATATCAATAACTGAGTGCCACAGTTATATTACTAAAACAAGCTAGCAAAATCCTGTTACGAAATGCCCAATGTTATAAAAACGCGTTTCTCACTGAATCCGATTATAATTCAGAGCATATGAGCACACATACATGAAATTCAAAAGTTTATATTTATTTTTTATTGCATCATTGTCTTCTCACTGAATTTCGCTAGCAACACATTGTATAAACCCGCGGGAAACAAACGTGCCAGATATTTTTTTGGCGTGTCGCACAGGGTTGCAAGGTTGCATACCCCTGTCATAAAAGGTATATCGCAGGCATAGTGAAGGAATTCAGTGACTATGTGGTATAGTTCACAAGGGAAAATTTACCAACTGAAAAAGAGCTTTTAATCTCTCCACCGTCTAAAAAAACTAAAGGTATTTTTCGTTTCATTTTATATATTTCACAATACGGAACAAAACAACTTATTGAAACAAATGCAATGATATTCTGAAATGCGGTAAGTTTGCAGCGGGAAATTAAGCAAGCTAAATAACGGCGTGAAGGTGCTCAGAGACCAACGTTACGGATCACACTAAATTAGATCGGTTAATATAACAAAATGCAATCGCACGCCATTCAGACATTTCCACAATTTTTACAAATCGATCAGAAACCACCCTCTAGTCGCATATCCCACTTTGGGTTTAATATACGATGTCACGCACATGTTCGCATTTGTGGCCAATTATGAATTTGTCCAAATACTGCATACAATTTCTATTTCAACAGTGTATATGAATACGCCCGTATAAACATATTTACCATTAAATTTCCTGGTATATTACCCCATTTTACGAGATTTCAGGCCTTAATTCCACGCGGCTCCGCCATAAGAAAAGCATTGTTTAAGCCGCCCCAGGATATGATTTACAGAAGGTCTGTGGCGATAACAATGAGTTTTCTGTCCATTGTTAAGTCATCAATGGTAAAAGTACAGTGCTTGCCATCTTGTTGTTATGTAATATATATAGGTGATCACTGCCGATTCTTATGGCGACGGTATCACCATCAGGGGCGATAGAGATACCCAGAGATGTTTTTGAACGAGTTCGCCGATTTAGCTTTAGGGAAATATTTTCGGTAACGCACCGTACCGGTATTCTAACGCATCCCGGTACCGGTACTGTACAAATTATCAACTTGGCAAGCGAATTTGTTAGAGAAATATTTTATATTTGACAAAGCAGATGAATGCAAAAAGGGATATAACACACAAGAGTCGTCAGCTTCCTTTTTTGTACCGGTGCCAGGAAAAAAAAAATTCCATGCTGACGCTTATTATTTGGTCACAAGATTGAAGGTATAATATTTTAATAGTTCAAGATAAAATATATAAAATATTTGTTACTGCAAGAAGGTTTACAACTTGCAGACATAGGTTGTGTTACAGAATATTATGGAAATACAGTTTGTTTTTCGCCAAACCTAAATAACAATTTTTATTGAATTGTATACCAATCGGAATCTCATGGGGTGGGTTGCCAACCGTCCTTTATTTCAAAGGACAATCCTTTATTTAAGCTTTTTGGTCCTTCAGCATTTAGAAAATATGCTAATTGTCCTTTATTCTTTCCAACGTCGTTTTGCCCGATAGTTATAGTACTGTGTTTGATATTGTTCCGTTCTTGAAAAATTGCCTCCGTTTATATATTTGCAAGTTTTTAATTATTCTTTTTAATTTCGCTTTGGCTCAAATAGCCAACGAAATAACAATTTTATTAACATTGTTTGGGTCAATGTTAAATAAAAATTAAATAAAAAACACATGAAGATTGTTTTAATATATCTTTTTAGCTTGTATATAATTTTTGTTATATTGTTTTATATTGTTCTGCAAGTTACAAAATAAATGATGACGGTAATCTATGTCCTTTATTGAAACTTTTCATAGTTGGCAACCCTAGATGAGACAGAAATATATGTCCGATGGACAAGCCTGGTTTTTGGGTAGTATGGATCAAATGTGCATGAAATGTAAAACTTATACGGTACTTGAAGACTTGTTGTAATTTAATTGTAATTTCTTTTCAATGCGCCGTGATTTGTATCAATTAAAGTGATTGTGTCGGGAGTTTGAAAACAAGAAGTTCAAGATATATTTCTTATCATTATTCTCTCCATTCCAGGACTATGGAGGTTTCCTAAACTGCTTTAAACTCAGCCTGAAGCACATATCGAAAAAAATTTGATTGATATGAATAAAGCTGCTGGACACGGACTCTACTCTAGTCTTGGGTATGAAAGATGTTTTATATCAAGATTTTCTAACTCATGTTTTCACTCTTTGTATTTTTGACATTCCAAGACAAACACTTGAAACTACATAATTAGTGCAATGAAAACAAAATAAAATTTAAATGGTTTAAAGTAAATTTGTCCAAAATTTTTTGGCTGAAAAAACTAAATCAATCGGATCAATAACCTTGCAATTAATGTGAATTTCTTTCCCTTCTCCTGTTTTAGGTTCTGTACTGTTATTGTCCAACCATACTTTTCCTATTCTAATCTATCATAGTTGGGTCTGATTCAGGATATTGAAATTTTGAATATGAAAACCTTGCATTCATATACTTTTTTGGGGTGCTATCATATTATTGGCCCACCAGTGAGCTAATCCTAAGTAAGGATTAGTTGGATGAGGCAATAGCAAGACATTACACACTGCGATAATGGACTGGTTTGAACTTCTAGATCAGCCCTAATCAGCCTGGTATCAAGCGAATGTTTCATGGGTGCTTGTCTACTGTCTTGCTTAGAGATCAGAAATAAAAACCTTGATCGAATCGAGAGTTTTTTCATTCTGCATGAAATAAATTGCAGGTACTCCTGTAGTATGTGGACCAAGATGACGGACACCAAAACGTAGTATGTGTACCAGGTTGGGATTAGGCATTAATTTGATTCCAATTTTCCTTATTTTAGTTCTATTACGAGTTCGGGGACTAGACGAGTGACTCCTGTAGTATATGTACCTGAAATTATGGCCTGGTACACATACTACGTTCCGGTGTCCGCCATTTCAGTTTGTATACTTCAGGAGTACCAAATTGCACTGTAAATAAATTCATAAAATCCCATGTGGTAAATTTTCTTCCTATTTTTAATTTCAAAATAGGAAGAAAATATTGCGATCCGATCTCCCCAACATGGAAACGATGATTTGCGAGTGTGACCGACCATCAGAACACATTGGAACTCATCATGACCAAGTACAAACAGCAGATGATGAAGTTTATAAAGCACCAAAAGTATCAACATTTTTCATAATCCAAGGGTGAGGAAAGTTAATTGCTTTATTAATATTTTTTTTAGAATGTCATGAATCTGAAGCGAATAAAATAATTGGCTAACTAACACTATATCTGACATGAACTGGTAAATGGGTGTGAGGCCATGGTACGCCATGACTAAGGATTTTATTATTGGATGAGTATTTGGTTGTTTTGAAAGTGTGAGGTATTTGGTTGTATTAAAATGGAAGATTTGATTGTTTTGAAAGTGTGAGGTGTTTGGTTGTATTAAAATGGAATATTTGGTTGTTTTGAAAGTGTGAGGTATTTGGTTGTATTAAAATGGGAGATTTGATTGTTACCAAAATTGTAAATAATAATGATATGTAAATCCCAAATAATACTTCTGATGGAAACAAAATTAAGTTTGCCAAATTCCTATTTTTATCTATTTTGGCCAGTTCAGTGCGGCGGCTCCAAAAGTTTACATTCAAATGCGACAGTCTATATATTATATGTACAGGGTGTCCATGAAGTCCCTTTACAATTTCAATTTTGTTGTGAAGTCAGTTCTCAATATATCTTAACCATTTTTTTTTCAAATCGGTAATTGTTTAAGTATTTTTACTTCATTTAGTACATCTGTGAGGGCCGAAACAATATATGGTATCGATAAATTTCTTCCCAATTTTGGAAAATTTTACGACTTTATGGACACCCTATATATTGTTTGAATAATATCAAATACTTGTACTTGTATTTAGAACAAAATATACTTTCTATTAGATTTAACATTATTATCAGACCTGCTACACTTTAAATTTCGCTATGTTTTGCAAGTATTAGTGTTAAGTATTGTACTGGGGTACCTTGAGCCTATGGAATGTTCCAATGGGGTTCCACTCCACCAAAAAGGTTGAGAACCAGTGGATTAGGCATATTGGAGCGACAATTCTAAAAGCTAAGAAGAACACATTATAGCAGGGGTGTGCAACCTTTAATACAGGAGGTCCAGATAGAAATAATTGGGCGAAACCTGTTACGACATTGTAAAGTCGTAGGCATGTATAAACTAGACTCAGATATAGGCTTCGCAACGCACAGGAATTGAAATTACTCACCCGTACCAAATTAAATTTAATTGAAAACTGATTTCGCGGTCCGCATATCATTCAAAATTGCCACTCTTGTGGGCCGCATTTGGCCCATGGGCCAGTCGCGGGTTGCGCACACCTGCATTATAGTATTTGTAAATTAATATTAAAAATCCAAAGCTGTATAGCTGAATAATATTCACAATGAATAATTACTAAGATTTACTTGGATTCAAATATTTCAACAAAATCAATGAACCGTGGCTTGACAGCATTTTTAGATTTATTTATATCTTTCGTTTTCAGCATCCAGATCACTGAAAATGCTTATCAAGCAGAAAAACAATATCAAGAAGAGAATATGGAACTCATTGATAAGGTAACGAGACCAAGGTTACTCTAACCCCAATTATGTCGTAGTGCTTTACTGCTTCGTCAACCAACAATTTCAGTTACCCTGGCCCACAATCCTGGTCCCACATTTCAGTTTATCACAAATTTGATTATGGGGATTGGTTTTGATGTAAAAGAACATGTTATTAGTCCCATATCCAAATTCATTAAGTATTTCCTGCTAAAAATCCTGTAATCGCTGTAAATATATGCACGATTAACCCTCTGACCACCACAAAATTGTGGCATGGCAAATTGTGGGAGTAACCTTGCATAACATTGAGCATTTTTATGTATAATCTTAGAGTAGAAACAGTGTGTACCAATATGTAGGTAACTAATTGTGTTCGCCTATTTTACATCAGGTCGTGTAAAGAGACTGAAACCTATGGGTAGAGAGTATATTCACTTGGCTAACACAAACAGTCCCCAAACTCGTAATAGAATAAGGAAAATATGAATGAAATTATGGCCTAACCCTAACCTGGTACACACACTAAGGCAGTACTGAAATAGGCATCCTGATTAATCAAGTTCAGTTTATTATATATTTGCCACTGATATTAAACAGTATGTAATGGGCTACTACTATCTGAAGGAGTGTAACCTTTCTTACTTGGCATTCTTGTCATAAGTAATGCTGGAGGTTTGACAATAATTATTCAAACAAAATAATTAAGTCACACGGTGGCGCTAAAGGTTCATTTATTTCAAAACAAAATAGATTTCAGTTTTATCTTAAAAGACATTGATTATCTTTCCATGTTTCAGATCCACGGAATGGCTGCTGTGATGAGGCATGCTGCGAATGTTGACGATGAGCAATATCTCAGAGATCACGGAGAATTATCCCGATTGCAAACAGAAAATGACGTTTTAAGAGAAATGCTGATGATATTTAAGAGTTCATTTGGATCAAGACTTATAACAACTGAACAGAAAGATTCTGAAAAGACTGAAAAACCAGAGAATGAATCTGAAATGGTGCTCACTGACGATACTACTTGTGATAAGACAGTTATACATGAGGGGAATCCCCCCCTAAGACTACTCCCCAGACAATTATTATATTACAATAGGGAGGAAGTTTATGTTCCTTTATCTTGTTATTCCTCGTGTTTCTATTGAAACTCAGTATTGAGAAAATATCTGGTTCATACAAAGTACTCAGCACAAGGCCGTAGACCAGTTTTCCCAAACTGGAGTCTGCGGACCCCCGAGGGTTCGTGATGACTGCACAGGGGTCCGCAACTATATGAAATGAGTCTGATTAATCTTTATTGATTTACTTCAACCTGAAAAGGCAAAGGCAATAAAAATTTTATTGCCTTTTGCAACGCAACGACCAGCATGTGTGAGGCAGCATTTTCAATTCTTGCCAATATGATGCCAAAATATGGGTCGACACTTGCGTAATAGAGTCGAGCCTACGCGTTTGCTCGCCACAAATTGCTCACCGAGAATTGATAAATTGTGCAACTCATCCATCATAATACTGTCGTTTGTGTTGTTCATCCTCCCTTGCTAGTAAGGCATAAAAATTGATATGGCTTAGCGCAGGGGTCTCCAACTCGAAACATGTCGCGGGCCACTTTTTGAAATTTATAAAACCAAGAAATTAGGTACAAAAATGGTTATCTGAACGTATTGTGTTGAAATTACACTTGAATCTTATAGCAAACGAGACATGAAACATATTCATTCAATTGTGCTGGTTATTTGGTCTCGATGTTTGGCCTTATTTTGCGTTGGTGTTCTAGTCTTAAGACAACATGCAAATGCTCGTACGTTAGTCGTGTGCGGAGGGCTGACTTGCTAACTTTCATAGTCGATAACTGTCAAAAATCGCAGATATGCAAAGTGAATGTGCAATTAGTTTTGCAAACCTTTCTTCGGGCACAATGGACTGACCGAAACTCGTTTATTTCGTCACAATGAACATGCGAAATGAAATTATCGCATTTATAATTGCATTATAACAATATAATAAAGCATGAACGTGGACAACAGGGGGGAATTTTGCTTCACTTTTACAGTCTGTCAGACCGGACTCTTGATGATAAATGACACGATAAAACCTACTAGAAGTTGACATCGTACTGATTTAGTTTTTTTGTGGAAAAGTCCCAACCATGACGTGGGCCGCAAAAAATGGCTGGCGGGCCGTATGCGGCCCGCGTGTTGGAGACCCCTGGCGTAGCGTGAAGGGTCCGTCAAAATGATATTTACAAACGTCTCCGCTATTTCAAAAGATTGGGAAACACTGCTGTAGGCAAGCAACTCTAGCAACAACATTAAAAATCGGGAGAGAATATATGTTCCTTCATCTCACTGTAAAACTTTGTGTTTCAGTTAAAGTAAAAAAAAAACTTATTCGTGGACTTCTCCCTAGACTGGCAACATGCATGGGGGAAACGCTATGACCCCTTGATTTTTTACAAAGAATTAACCCCAAAATAATTAACTCACTGTTATCCCCAGTGTCAGGTTCAGCTCAGTATTGAGAAATTATATCTAATTTATTTGATGTACTCCCTTTTGGCCATTGGTTTTCAATCAGGGTCCTACTGTTATTGCCGTTTAAGTGTTCCTCATGTTTGCATTCAAATCGGACGGTCTATAATTATATTGTTGAAATACAATTAAATACACGGTATAAATAATATAACAATATAAGTGTGTTTCGTGAGAGACTTTCAGTGTTCTGCATCAAATTGCTTTTTCACATTTTTGATTGGCGTAATTTACAGGTGTCTACAGCCAGGACTACTCAACTGGCCTCTCGGGTATTCGATTCGGACCGCGCCTAATTCCTTATTTTGGATCATTAGCCCCCACTTTGGAAGTTTCCTTTTATAAAATCACTTTTATGGATTTAAATATATATGAAAAGAACTATAACGCCATAATAGGCAATCTTGATTAGCTAATAATCATTAGTCGGCCGAAGAAGTGCGTGTTCGAGGATGCCGAAATATAATTTCTGGAAAGACCGGACCCAAATATTTTGTAGTATTTATACCTGAAATTATCGCCGAACCCTAACCTGGTACATATACTACATTCCGGTGTCCGCCATCTTGGTTCGCATACTGCAGGAGTACCGTAAATTATTCTGTTTTAAAATTTCTCAATTTTCATTTAACATAACTCAGCTTTTGAGTGAGTGCATTGTCAATTGGCTTTTCCCCGTTAACATAGCGTCCCCAACATTCGGGGACCGTAAGTTCTTTGGGTGTGATCATCAACTTTAACTGGTCCCACATTGTGATCATGCATCGACCTCTACACCTTCTTAATCACCAACCTTGGGCCTGAGTCATATTTCCAAATCTGATGGTCAGACTTTTTTTTGGAAAAGTTGTTATTGTGAGCGTTTCCGTTTTAAAAATTTTGTTGTTCTTGTTGATAGATTTTTGTCAATTTCAAATTATCTAAAATTTTGTTGTTAGGTTGAGGTTCTGTGTTAGCAGTTTTTCAAAGGAATATCTAACTGAATAGAACATTTATAAATAAAGAGAGTTGGAATATTTGCAAATTTGTGTCGCAGTCTTTTAGCATTTAAAGGTTTTATACCAATTGGTAAGAGGATAAGGAATAGAATCGCCCATGTAGGTGAATAGTCTTACTTTTCATTTGATAGCTAATATCATACTGAGAGTCCTTATTCATTGAATATTGATTCGAATCAGATTGGACATTCCCGATACTCCATCATGTTGGCTTTATTCAGGAATAAAAATGTTCAAATTTGTTATACAATCAGATTTATTTATTAAACGATATTATTAAAATGTCAACTGAAAGCAGATTACAGAAATCTCGGTACTCCTGTAGTGTGCGTACTAGGTTTGGGTTAGACCAGGGGTCGCGACCCCAAATTGGGTCGGAGTGATAAATAGATTGGGTCGCAACCAGGTCATGGGGTCGCTGAGGTATGGTAGAGGATGGATGTACAACTCATCTAAGATTTGACAAACAATGTTAAATTTAGCAGTTTGTACCATGGCTTAATGTGAAACAGGCCCATAGGCATCACTCCATGCTTTTGTTATTGAAAATGTAGGTGTTTATTGTGACATCACTATTGGGTTTTAGCTTATTTTACTTAATACCACCACATGACCAAACTCAAAAGTCTAGTGATAGAAACTCTAAAGTTTCATGAAAAATATTTATATATTGACCGATATCGATATATTGACCTGAGGTCGCACTGGACACTTGAAAGTTGTCTTTGGGGTCGTCCTGAAAAAAGTTTGGGAACCCCTGGGTTAGACCTTAATTTTATTCTAATTTTTCTTATTTATGTATATTACGAGTTCGTGGACTGTCGGACTGTGTTAGCCAAGTGAATATACCCCATAGGTTTCATTCCCTTTACACAACTTGATGTAAAGTAGGCGAACAAAATTAGGTACCTCCATATTGGTACAAACACTTCTGGAGCGCTGAAATCTCTATACCAAGGACTTTTGTTTTTTCATCCTGATATACACAACTGGACCCCATCCCCGCTACCTCACCCACAGTGTGATAAATTGGTTTCTAGGACAGGACCCTTGGAGTGGAAATTAGAAATTACCACCTCGAACTAGGGTGGGAGTAAACATGTCAAATAAGGTGGAAAAGTATATAAAATATTTTACCGGAATGATAATCAGTGGTGTTTTTGCTTCAGAACTCTTGATAGGTTGTATATACAGTATTGGCTTGATTGCATAAATTGTTATGAAATATCAACACATTTGTTTTATATTGAACTGGTTCGAGAACACATATAATACACTTGAGCACATAGACAAATTAATTTTGATGTGCAGGAGAATACAAAGTCCCGTAGTTCCATGAAATTATTTTGCTGGAACTCTTGATTTGTATATTGCTTTATATCAGGTACTTCTGAAGTATGTGAACCAAGATGGTGGACACCGGAAGTAGTATGTGTACCAGGTTAGGCCGTAATTTCATTATAATTTTCCTTATTTTAGTTCTATCACGAGTCCTGGGACAAGCCAAGTGACTTCCGTTAGTTCCGTAGTATTTGTACCTGAAATTATGGCCCAACCTGGTACATATAATACGTTCCGGTGTCCGCCATCTTAGTTCACATACTTTGGTAGTACCTTATATTATACAGATCTTGGTTTGGTTGCCTAATTATAAAAATAATATATAAAATGCTATAGGATATTAATAGATATATACAGTGGTGGATGGCAATTAGGCGATCAGAACAATTGTATAAATATATTGGAGTGTGGTGTCATTAACAGCAGAGGAGAACTTACGGAAAAAGTATACAATATGCCATAATAGTATACAATAAAAGTAATATATTAAAATGCGTAAGGACGACATTGAAAGTTATACATACTTTAATTAATAATATATTTAGTTGTGAATAACAATCAAAACCCAGGGCAGAAATAGAATATTTAAACAGATAATCTATTCAGCATAATTCATGAGCTCAATAACACAGGGTTGGATTGGACATTTTTCAAATCAAATCAAGACTTGAATAATTAATTTTTGGTTGAAGTACGCCCCAATTGGCATTCAGGTATAACCTGCCACAAATTATCAGAACAGCTTTGTAGTGTACGGACTGACACAAAAATGCCAGTTTATTCAACCTATTTTGATTTATGAAGGATTTCGCTGATTCATTCTACCAAATATAACATATCGACAATGCAACCATCCCAAATAGCCTGCAGGGGTCGGCAAACTACTGCTCACAGGCCAAATGCAAATGTTGCCACAACAACATCATCCTTCACATTGATAATAAGCAAACAATGTTTTGTTGTGTCATATATTAAAAAACTCCACATACACTTCTTATTGTGGCAGGCTTTTAACGAAGCATAAGAAAGCAAATGCACCATAATTTAAGGTTAAATGAGGCAATTATATTTAAGGCAGAAACATTGCAGCCCCCACGCTACCGCAAATGTGTATATTTGGCCTGCAAGTACATGAAGTTTGCCGACCACTGGCCCAATGTTATGAACTTGAATATGTTGGCATCGCATATTAAAGCATTTAAGTCGTATGACCACTACCTCACCAGAGTGTTGTATACGGAACTAAACAGGAATGTTTCAAGTTCTTTTGTGGAATATAGAAGTTCCATATTCATGATTGGATGCTTGTTCAGAGTACCGTTCAGGGTAATTATAGCCACAAAAATTATCAAAAAATGCCCCAAAAATATTAAATTTGAGCAGCCACTGGTATTTAACGATATGTAAGGAGATAATATTTGTTTGTAAGAAACAAAAATCTTTTCGGTTCGACATTGCCTCCCCAATCTTACACACCCTGGGGGGAGACGTGAGATTTGAACCTGAGACGTGTAATCTGCGATGCCAGCAGTTAAGTTTTATGTTTTTAAGTTTTATGCCAGCAGTTGGGTATTACGCTTTAGCTGCCTAGGCCATTTCACTATTTGATGATATGCCCATACGGAAACGGACAAACAAATTTTCTCAAAATATTCGCATTTTTATCTTATGAAATAATTGATTAAGAACATCTTTGCACAATGGCTGCAACAGTAATATTGTTTTGGCCTTTGATGTAGTTTTGATGAAGGCGAGTTCAACGTTTCAGTTCAGTATCCTATGCAGTGGAATCGTGTTGCCGGAAATCTTTGTCTTCTACTCATTCATTTTATTTTCTTACTTTCCATGGCTTTATCTGAGAGAGACGAAAGAATTAATACAACAGGCAATAAAATGAAACTAGAATTTGTCAATATGTGCACTATGATAGGGCAGCTTATTCAAACATGTTATGTTTTTGCTATATTTATTATATCTATCCAGCTACACATTTCTCAAATTACAAAACCTATTTCTTTTGTCTGGTAAAATTACAGTGTCTCTGAAAAATATTAGTCATTTACATATCAGTGGATGATTGTACAGAGCCTTGTCCGAAGGTAAAAACATAAAAATAAACGTGGTATAAAAAACTATTAATTTCTATATTATTCAAATCACCATATTCTACACAATTAGCACTGCAATAATGAAATGGCAAAGCAACTACTCGAAATCATAAGAACTAATGTGAGATAAAAGTGAGGCCTTGGTCTTATATTATTAATTGAAACTGCACAGCACACAGAGTGTCTCATTGAAGATAGCAATTTTGAGTTTTCATTTGAAAGCTTCCAAAACTATGTGATTGTGATATCATATATGACGATATAGTACTTTATGATGTCCATAGGGCTGGGCTTTTCAAATCGAAAATTTGAATCGAATAGTAAATTATTAGAATCGGAGAAAATTCTATTTAAACAAGCAATTCTTTTATCTACCTACGATACCAATGCAAGTTCATTACTCAATTCAGTTTCAAGTTATGATTATCCAACTTGTTATTTCAGGAATTTGAGACTATAAATATGGATGTATGTTGGGGAAAGTAGACTCAGCGATATTTTGCCAGAGTGTTAAATGAATAAAATTATCTCACCCATATTGATGCCTCAAACTCAAATGCTTTCGCCTCCAATCCTTCTCGCAGTTTCCTTATATGGTTTGGATCTGGATATCCATTACTAAAAAAAAAAATCATGAACTCTGTTTGAGCATGTTCCTAGAAAAAAAACTTTTCTGTTTAACAATAATGAGTATTGAAATACAGAATTGGGTTCTGAGAATAAAAAAATTTCGGCGCTCCTGAAGCATGTGTGAACCAAGATGGTGGACACCGGAACGTAGTATGTGTACCAGCTACCAGGTTTGAGTAAGGCCATAATTTTATTTCAATTTTCCTTATTTTAGTTCTATTACGAGTTCGGGGACTAGCCAAGTGACT